CCGGAGGAGCTGGAGGAAGTGTCTGGAGAGAGGGAAGTCTGGGCATCTTTGCTTAGACTGCTGCCCCCGTGACCCGGTTCCAGATAAGCGAAAGAAAATGGATGGATGGATGGATGGATGAATTAAAAATTAACAGACTGGAAATGTATAAAGTCATGGAAGTGGCTTTGACCTAGTTTCACAAGTTTATGTACAATCTGTGGCATTTCACATCAGATCTTTGATGGGAACTCTGCAGTCCCCACACTGAATGTGTTTAATAGCATCTGTAAGGGATAACTGTCATGCCATACCTTAGTACTCTAACGGTTTGTTATTAAAATCTTTTCTTTGTTGTCTCTGTGCTTCTTTCTTTTGCTCTGTTGAACCTCTGTTCCTTCCTCCTCCTGTTTCTATCTCCAGACTTCCCAAGCCCATCCTCAAGAAGTCTGTTGTTCCTCGGCCATCTTCTCGTTCCACAGATGAAGAAATCCAAGGTTCCAAAGATGCCCTCATCCAGGACCTGGAGAAGAAGTTGCGCTCAAAGGAGGCTAGGAGGAGAAACAGCCAGGTGTGCGTCTTGCAAATTGTGTGAGGAGTGGGAAAATCCTGCCTTTTCCTCCATCCAGAAACACCTGCAGAAAACATAATTGCTATAGTTTATAGCAAAACAAATGACAGCACACTTTGTATGTGTGAAAATTTAAGTGTAAAGTCTGACTTTTGACAGAAACTGTCATATGAGGAGCGTATGGCTCGTCGTCTGCTGGGTCCAGACAATGTCGCCTACGTGTTTGACCAAGACAGTCTTCCACAGCTTGATCAGGTATGACAACAAACTTTAATTTTGTCAGTCAGCAGATAATATAAAAATCCCATCCCTCAATCTAACCATCTTTAACAGTATGTTTCATGTTGTACTAATGTGAAAACGTTTCTCTCTTTGGTTCTGCTACAAAACCCATTAGCTTTCATTTTGTTATTAAGTAAAGCCTACGGTTTATTACAGTCACTTAGGTTTGAATGGCTGCACAGGGAGCCCTCTTAGGGCCTCCTAATGAGCTCCCGAGCCCAGAGTTGAAAAAGCCTGGCGATTTATAATCAGCAGCCCCAGTGAGCTGTCTCATGCTGTCATTTTGACCACTTCACTGTGTGTATGCAGGATTTTGTTAGAAAGCCTCTGTTGCTGATAGGGGCTTTGTACCATCTGTTCTGTTTTTCACACACACACACACACACACACACACACACACACACACAAACATCCTCTTAAGCTAACAAGGTTTGTCAGTGGCTTTCTAGCCTATCTTCTGAGAACGGGCCCCCTTCACTGGTGACAACAGGACCTTTGTGTCAGAATACATGCAGTACACTCACACAAACTGCCTAAGCCTCCTTGTGTTATGTTGACCAGTACAGTGCCAGTTCAAACCTGTAATCACCTCAGTTCATTTGTTGTCTGTTACAGCCAGACTCAGAGGGACGACACATGGGCGGACTATGGTAAACATTAATTTTGTATCGGTGTTGCTTGTAATTATTAACTTGAATTTCCAGCTCAACATAAGAGCTTTGAGCGTGGGATTTTCCCTTGACTCCCATCCAGCAGAGCAGTATTCACTGTCTGCTGTAATGAGTTGCTAACTTTACACTACCAAAACTATAGCCTGTGTTAACTTCATCTCTTCATTGTGTAATTATTTTTAAATTTACTGAGAGGTTTGTAACTCCAACTGTCTGTCTGGAGAGGTACAGATCTCCAGTCAGTACAGTGGCCATGCTGTCAGAGGAATCGGTGTTACTATGCTTACTTGTGTGGACTGTAAATTTCAGTAAGTGAAAGCGAGGTTCTGAATAAATAATGTCTCGCTGCAGGGGAAGGCACCGCTCGGAGACAGATGAGAGGGGCACTGAGGGATCAACTATCCAGGAGAAGTGTTACGCTCCTCGCTTCCTGCAGATCCCCACAGACCTCACTGTCGAGGAGGGACGCTGCTGTAGAATTGATTTCAAGGTGGTTCGCTCTCACGTGCATGTATTAACACCAGGGCCTTAATGTTTTTAAGTTTATTGTACACTGCAGTCTGTGTTTGTACAAGGTCAGGAGCTCTGTGTACATTAAACAAAAATAAATGCAGTAATTGTGTGGTCATACAAAGGGATAAAACCTCTCTGTGTCTAGGTCGGAGGCCTGCCTACACCAGATGTCTGCTGGTACCTGGATGGTAAAGCCATTCGTCCAGATGACTACCATAAGATGTTGGTGTGTGAAAAAGGGGTGCACTCATTCATCATAGAGATAGTCACAGTGCACCATGCTGGTGTGTACGAGTGCGTGGCCAGGAACCGAGCGGGGGAGAGCAGATTCACCATGAGGCTGGATGTAATAGGTAAAAACGCCATGACATCCTATTTTGAAGACTGGTAATTCTTTCTTTTTAATAGAAGTTCACCAAAGCACTGCTTCATAATAATCATGAAGGATTTTGTAAATCAATACCAGGCTAAGGTGCGACAGAGTTTATCCACTTGTGCTGAGCAGCCTTTTCTTCCTCCTGCAGCTCAAGAGGTTCTCCGCCCTCCCACCTTCATCCAGAAGATGTCAAACTCCAGAGTTCTGGAGGGCGACACTGTGAGGCTAGAGTGCAGAGTTGACGCCTCCCCTCCTCCACAGCTCTTCTGGAAGAAAGACAAAGAGATGCTGTGCATTGACCCCAACAGAATGAGGTATGGGTGCCTCAAAGTGCCTTGGTAGCTGAATGGTTACAGTGCATGCCACATAATCACAACATCCATGGTTCGATTCTAGCCGGGGGGGCTTTGTTGCACATCCTCCTCCTCCTCTCCTGCTACTGAAATCATTTCTATGAAAGAGTTTCATGTTTTTAAAAGAGCTCTATTACAAGCATCTTGAGAATTTAGTCAGTGTGCAGGTTATGTTCCTATTTTAATAAGAAACTGTATCCATACGCAGGTTAATTTGTGCCAGACATGGCACCTCATTTATATATGAAAGAAAATGAATCTGAGTAATATATAGGAAGTCTAATACTTTTGGTACCACTAGCCTTTTACAACAGCATATTAGACTAAAATTAGAACAGTTAAATATAATAAAAACGGGTAGTTAAGCTAATTACATCACAATGTAATCAGCCTGCGCATGTGACACTGGGCCAGGTGCACATTCAGTGTAACGTTATGTTAGCCACAGAGCAAAAATGCAACAGGTGAATTTGCTAAAGTAGCTATTTCAAGTCACAGCAGGACAAAGCTAGTCAGAAATCAGAAGCTAACAGGCCAGTTATAAAGCCTACAACTGTTAATGATGATGAGATCATGGACTCCTGCCCCATGACCACGTTATGGGCTGTTTTTAATAACTGAAGGTAAGAATGTTTAATTAATGTTGCTGCATTATAGACTCTGGTGTGCTTTAAATTTGTTGCTGTAATATTCTGAATAAAATGTTAATGTGCAATAAGGCCCCAAATATGTCAGGCTTCTTATTTGAACAGATTCGCAGTCCTAATGTATTTAGCATCACTCGCACTCGACATTTATAACTGACACTTGTAAATGGGGGGGAGGGTTCATTAAAAACACAACAAATAATGTTTTGTCTCCAAGCTGCTCTCTTAACATGAAAACTACACAAATGCCCTGGTGTGTTACACAGGTGCAAAATTAATTATTCCCTGTTTAATTTCTTTGGTTTATAAACTGCTTAGTATTTGTTCGTTTGAGTGTTTAGTCGGCATGAGGACAGTTTTTCTGATGTGTGTTAACATAGTTATGAACTGCAGTGTCCTTCTGTCTGTCCACAGTCTGTACGAGGATGGCTCAGGCCGGCAGTGCCTGTTGTTAGAGAGGGTGATGAAGTCCGATGCTGGCTGGTACACGCTCTCTGCCATTAACGAAGCTGGCATGTCTACCTGCAATGCCAGGCTGGATGTAGGCAGTAAGTGCACTGTTTGTTCATGCAAATTTTAAATGGCCCATGTTAGCTATCTGTTGTTCAAGATAGTCTGGTAGTTACCATAGTAAAATTACAACAGCAGATGGAGAATGCTGTGAGTCTAGCATCACAGCCTGGAGCGCATCAAACATGTTATGAGATCGATTGGAAGCCTGACACTGCATACTGCAATAACACTCCATCTGTTGTGTGTGTGTGTGAGGGGAGAGACAAAAGCTGTACAGAACACTACCTGGTCCTCTGTTCGGATGAGCACCGCTGCTCATCTGATTAGCAAACCTGAAAGGGAGCTGAGAACTCGGCAGGTGAACAGGACCTCACGTACTGAAGCGTTACAAGAAAGAGGTTTTACAGCAGGGGGTGGCTTACACTGCACACACATTTAGTCTTCAAATTATTTGTTTAAGAATACTACTGACAACTGTATCATTATTTAATGTCCCTCAGTGGAGTATGTAGCTCCACATAATTGTATGTACAGTATATTGTGGACAAACTGCAGAGGACAACCAAACTATAGATGAATGAAAGTCAGTCCATGTCACTATTAAGTTAGTCTGACTCATATCTCTGCTAATGAGATTTTTATTTTTATTTTTTTAACATTATAATGAATTTAGAATGTAGATTTAGTTGTTTTTTTGCTCTTTTAACAGTCATTTGGATTAATTAGTCTTTTGGCTTGTTCAGCAATTTTAGACATCTGATATTTTTATTTTTGTGAATGTCAGAATAAAATGACCTCGGAACAAAAACTGAGGTGTATCATCATAAGCTTTTTATGTTGGTGTTCATTTGTACAAGACGTACTTTTAATGGATCTGATTGACTCTGTAGAGCATTTACAGCAGCTTATAGTTCGATTTACAGCTGCTGATGTTGATGTACAGCCAATGCAGACTGGACTAGAGTAGTAGGGCTGCTTTTGTCTGGGCTTTTCAGTTAATACTTTTAAGTTGTTTTAGGCACCTTACTGTACATTTTGAGCCTTGGTGATATACAAAAAGTAGTGATATCTGATGATACTCTGCACGTGTGTTCTGACACCTGACTTGCTAAAACGAGTCTGAGGTTTAATAAGGCACAGATGGGACTGACCTATAAAGTATGTTGACAACTACTCACACATGTAGCTCTGACCATCAACACACCTGAAAGAACCGACACATGCACAGCATGTGAAACACTCCTGGTTCCGCTCTAGTGTCTCAGGTCCCCGAAGAATCAAAAGCTAAACATGGGCTGGTTACATATGTGGCACTGAGCCGTGCCGCGCTGCCTTGTGCTATGGCGTGCAGGGCAGAAGAGTTATTTTCAGACACCAGCTTAAAAGAATGTTTAGCCTCCACTGCCCACCAGTAAAACCAGTATTGCTGCTGTTGGTGACATGAGTTTGTATTAGCTGTATGAATAAACAAGAAATTTGCAGGTCTGTAGAAAAAGGCTGAACCAGGTCCTGCTGGAGGAGATTACTACACGCTGCAGACACAATTTCATGTGTATGTAATGTCAGAAAATGACTGGTACATGACTTTGTACGGGCTGCCCCTTATATTATTTACAGCCAATAGTTAAAACAAAGTTTTAAGCCAGATGTACGAGTAAAATAAAGTAATGGATCCCACAGTCAGTCTTTGTTGAAGAAGATGTAAGGAGATTGAAAAATTACAAAAGAGTAGATTAATATTGTAGTCAAATGATGATGTTGGCTAATCAATCATTCAGTCCAAATAAGTTGTACCAGATTCATTAGTGGTGTTTTATAAATAACAAACTAAAATCATGTTCTTGAGTGTAATATTTAAAATCACCACTTTCTTCTTTGTCCTTTCCAGCTCGCACAACTGCAGCTGTAAAAACGAACACCCCTGCCTCGAACACGTTGAAGCTGCTGTCATCTCGGCGCCACATGCCCGCTCTGACTGTAGAGAGTCCCGCCCAACACACTGCCCCGCTGTATGAGAGCGAAGAGCTGTAGATCCACACTAACTCCAGTCTGTCACGCATCATACGCCTCCGAACTGTACAGCTGGGCCAGAGCTTGTATGAACTGTAAAGTCAGGGCAGAAACAGTTCTATACTTGCTTTGGCTCAGAGTACAAATGAATAGCATCACAGCAGATAAGCCCACGTCTCAAAAGCCAGTCCAAATCAGGCTCAGTAAGCAAGCAATGCTTTGGTTGATGTGCAAGATAAATAAGCTTTGCAATATTTTAAACTACAATTGTGATCCAGTATTAGATGAGTTTTCTGTTACTGAAAGAAGTTTTGTCTTGCAACATGCTCAAAGAAATGTTCCTCCATGTTGCAGAGGTTCGTTGATATTCTGAATCAGCCTTTAATGATTGTTTCTAATGTCTAGGAAACAACGGCACCCTTTAAGAACACTTGATTGATCCATAGGTTCAGGGGGTGTAGTTCAAATATTCACTCATGTTGTCCATCTGCTGCTGCTTGTTATCTCTGTGCCCCCCCGTGTTCAAAGCTCGTGTTTGACATATGCCTGTTGCCTCTCTACTCTGCCTGCCTGTCGTGTCTGCTTTCAGCAATGTGGTCTAGGTCATGGATGTATTAATAGACTTGGCTATGGAGCAGAAGGGTCAGCTATGCTGCCGGTTTTGTCCCAGTGGCCAACCACAATACTGCATCGCCAAACGCTCTATGATCCAGAAACAATTTCCCCATAGAAAACTGAAGACAGGACAAGTTCGTTTATTATGTGCTGGGTAAGCACCTTTCTTTTGAATAATTGTTAATGAAATAATGTTGAAACAGTTTCTAGCTCTCTTCCATGGTCCGGGTTAAAAAACGGGGAGTAACCTGGATTAACTACAGTACCCACAATCCAACACTACCACCATCTGTCACTGCACTTTTAATCATAACAGCTGTCTCTGTGCAAGGCTATCTCGTCCACACCCATCCTCCGTTCATCTAGCTCATAGTTGAAAAAGGGGGCTCTTATGTTTGAGCCTCAGAATTTAAATGTTAGGCCTTAAATTCCAGCTGCTGCTGTCGTGATGTCTGTAAAGCTCCATGTAACAGAATCAAAAGTTGTTTTTAACTTGAGACTAATCTGATGTTATCCCCCATTTAAAGGTGTTTACTGCCCAGATTCTCTGTGGAACAAACTCAGTCTAATATGTGTTTTTAAAGTGTTTCTGATATACAGTGTATGTGAGTGAAGCTATTTATTTGATGAAGTTATTAGTTATCAGTGTTGGGACTTGAAGTTGCCCTTGTCTTGACCTGCAGAAGGTCAGCCTGTGCCCAGATTCCAGACTCTCTATTTCTGTGTAAAACGCAGTCAAAGAGAGGCTGGATTTGCCCGCTTACCTTGAAACTGGTTGTTATTGCCACTTGGGAGCTAACTTCACAAAACCTTTTTCTTTTTTGCTGGAACTGCATGCAGACTGAAAATTTAACCCTGTGTGGCCACAGTTCAGTGGCAGGAGTTACTCTAAAGATGCCCATTAGACCCTGAGATCTGGATCTCGGGAAATGAAAATGCCATTTTCTGGTTCAGCCTCTGTGAAAATAGAAACTGTAGTTGGGCTGCATTTATAAACTAAACTGTCTTTTACTCAATCAGTGGTTTTAGATGCAGTATTTCTGCAGTTTGTCACAGTGTTTGGATCAAATAGTGTTAGATTTGCTTAAAGCACAGCAAAGTTTGGTAAGTTAGGCCCTTTCTGTTGAGATTGTAAACTGCAGGTATAAGTGTGTATAATCCTGAAATTGTTTGTTGTGTAAGAAGTTCTACATATCACTGAATGAATGAGGAATAAAGCCTATGTGTCTAGTTTTGCCACCTGCTGTGTTTCTCTGGTTGGCACAGAGGTTATAGCGCATTGTGCTGCCCTCTGGTGGTTGTGTTCAAATCTTTCTCACAAGGATCTGACTTAAAAACAGGACTAATTCAAATACTTTTATTAAAAACAAATGTTGTCGACAATACCAAAAATCACATAGAACCTGTTTCTGGCTGAAAGAGGACTGAAGGTGGCAGGTAGCAGAAAATGTTTCTGCTGTGGCTTTACAGTTTGCCTGTTTTGTAAAGAAGCTACACAGTCTCACCTCAGTTACCCTCTTCTACATTATGAACACACACAGTTCATACTTTCATGTGTAAACAGATTAATGAGAAAGCTAAAGCAAACAGGAAGGAGGGAGGATAATGGATGAATGGCCTCATTTACAGAAATCCAAAGGCATGTGAATAATGCTGTAACTAAAAAAGAAACGGCTACACTGTGGCAGTAAAATAAGAATGTTGAACTGAGTGTCTAAAACGAAGCATGGTTTAAACATCTGTGCTGCCTAATGTGTGACTAATGCATCCTGGCAGGCACTTGGAACAGTTCTTCACGTTAGCACATTTTGTATGACGGGTAAAAACACCTGATAGAACTCCAGTTTTTTTTCCTGTAGTTCTGTCACGTCTACAACTTAACGGCTCATATCTCAGGGGTTGGTAGAACACATGATCTAGATACTGAAACTTCTTTAGTACACTTTTGTACGGAAAACTGAGCATCTTTGACTGTCCTAACTTTAAAAAAAAGTTCAATTCATTTGACAGAAATAATTTACAGGTGACTTTCTATTGCAATAGCTAAATAGCATTGCTATGATAAAATGATCAAAAATACACTTGGTAAAAATGTAAAAAAGAAAAAAAAATCTAGATATTTGAATGTGTGCACATACAGGAAAGAGGTTTGTTTTGAGGCCAGATACTGACACTAAAATGAAAAGAAGGGACATCGCATCCTGTGATCTTCTCACACAGACAAAGCAGCTGATGTACTGTGTGTGGAATCTGGACTCTTCCTGTCTGCTAATAACATGACTCAAAAATGGGACTGCTGCTGTGTGAGACTAGTGCTGACAACACATGTCCTGATGAGCTATGCTGGTGGAACAACCAGAAGTGGACTGACAACTTCTAGAAAACAGAACCTACTGAGAATAAAGGCAGAGCTCAACTGTCTTCTCTGTCCCTCCAGAGGTGTTTACATTTGTTTTGTAATCTGAAGTGAAAGTGTGACGTCTGTAGCTGATGCAGCCTCATTCTCATTGGTCAAATTTCCACATCACTCTCTTTGTCATTGTCATGGTCACCATCGTAGAACTCGTTGGCTGCCTCTGGTCTGAGAAAGTAATATTACTGACAGTCAGACACAGGAACAATTCACAGGTTTAAAATATTTCATGTCCGTTACTTTAGTCCCCAGACATGGAGGTGTACTGACCTGGTGTAGTTTTCCTCGGCCCCTCTCTCGTCAGGATCTGGCTCATCGTTGCGTTCGTAGCTCAGCATGTCAGAGGGGACGTCGTGGATCTGGACGCTGGGAGCGTGGTTCAACATCTTCAAGTTCTCAAACACTGTTTGGCGAATCTGCTCCAAGTACTGCAAGGACATGTGCACAGCTAGAAAGATGGCATAGTGGAGGTGCTGATGTCATCAGACCCAATTAATACTTCTAGGCTGTGCACCCTGAATGTCATGATATCGCTCAGGTCCTGCAGCCACTGGAGTATTCTAACTACACAGACTGTGCGATGATGCTTTACCTGTCTGGAGTTCTGGTTTTCTATCCTGGTGCTGACGTCAGGATGCAGCGTGAAGTCTGGAGCAAAGTACTCAAAATACTCTGGAGAGGACAAAGCAGGACAGGAGAGGTCTTAAAAAGACTATTAAATTGTATATGACTTATTTCTACTTATCAGATGTAAACTAATAAGGTCATTCTTTAGCTGTATCTGCTAACCCACAGCTACAGGTAACCCTAGTGGCTACACTGGGCTTCCAACAGACGGTGATGGAGGCTGAAAATGAACAAATTTCTGCTCAGTAGAAGCTTTTTTTTTTTCATTTAAACTGAGGGACTCAACAAAACATAACAACACTCAGGGCAATGACTAAAAACCTTAAAAAGCAAAACCAGAGGTGCTGTTCCAGTGCAAAATCTTAGCAACTTGGAACTGTTGAAAGCTGTGGTACATTATGGTACAGCTCACCACTATAAGGCAGCTCATCACTGATGGATTCGTCCACTAACAGAGATGTCTCATAGGTCCTAGAATACAGAAGGCAAGAGAAATTGTCTAACGTCCGAGCAGTAGCTAACTTTAAAATGTATGTTTTGTTGCTGTCACACATTTAGTTCTTGATTCTTACCAGCAGCGAGCCACATTCCTCACTGTGTATCCTCCTCCTCCCAAGACCAACAGAGGAATCTTAAAACCCTTCACAAACTCCACACACTCACTGAAACAGAAAAGGCAACAGGCAGACACACACTGATTAAAGTCAACTCAGAGCAGCAACAGAAACGGCCATCCCTATCAACATTAGGACAGACACACACCAAGCTGACAGTCTGCTGTCAGTGATTGTCTGTCGGGGCTCGTCTTCCCGGTGTGTCCCGCACTGTTGGCACTAGTCGACCCTAGTGGGTGGCTTTTCGGCCAATTCACCACGTTGAATCGCCGTCGGACCGTTGGGCCTCGTCGGTGAGGGAGAGACCACTCTCATTGCCTTAGTGAATCAGTGCAGGAGACAACAACAGTTCAGGATGTACTTCCTGCACCAGCTCGGGAAGTTCGACCTGCCCCAGGAGCTGCTGATACAGTTCTACAGAGGAATCATCGAGTCTGTTCTCTGCACCTCCATCACTGTCTGGTGTGGCCCAGCTAGCAAAAGGGACAGGAACAGACTTCAGCGGACAGTCAGGACTGCAGAAAAGGTAATTGGTGCGGACCTGTACACCTCATGGGTCAAAAGGAGGGCGGAGAGGATCAGTGCAGACCCCTCACACCCCGGACACAATCTGTTTGAACTCCTCCCCTCTGGACGGCGTTACAGGTCAATGTGCACCAAGACAACCAGGCACAGGGACAGTTTCTTCCCCAAGGCTGTCACTCCGATGAACACTTAACCCATGACAGTATGACTGGACAATAACCCTCAGTGCAATACCTGTAAATATATATTGTACAGATTATACAGATCCGTACAGGTCTCTATTTTTTAAGTACTCCATTTTTATCATTTCCTAATGAACATTCCTTTGTCTGTTTGCACTGTTTATACTGTTTATTTTGTTATACTACACAGCCTTATAAGCAAACTTTATTGCCAAGTATTTTAAAAATACAAGGAATTTGACTCCAGCTTGATGGCCCCCGATATGGACAACATAAAAGTTTGGTATATTGTTTACTTGCCCCTTGCTGTTGCCTTGCATAGGGATATGTACATGCACATCGAGAGCCGCTGTACCAGAGTCAAATTCCTCACGTCCAACACACCTGGCCAACAAAGCTGACTCTGATTCTGAAAGCCCCTTTGGCCTGTTGCAGTACTATTTATGATTTTACCCATTTAGTGTGGTTTGTCCCTGTTTTTTGCCTCCACACCCCTTCTTCCGCAACCAAAAGACCGAGGGCAGAGAATGACAGTCATTTGCAAATTCTTATCAGACATATTCTCGACAAGAAGCAGCTTTAAACAGCAGCTGTTTTGAACGAGAGATGTTTTGTTTCTAGCTTTTACTTCTGAATTCCAGTTCTTCTTCTCTCCCTTTCTGAATGGTGAATACAGATACAGACAGCTGCTGGTAGGGGGAGTTATTTCTGTCACGCAGGTGCAGAACGTACATGCTAGTCGGTCATTGTCACTTTTTCTACCTGACTGGCCCAGACAAACCCGGCGTGAGGTGACGCAGAGGCCAGCCTTCGTTGTTGCTAGTTCTTTCACACCCACTTGGTGTGTTTCTGCCCTAACACTATGTGAAACTACATGATGTAAATGTATTTGCATTGTACATACAGTATGGTTCTCTCTTGTACTCTGTAAATGGGAATGCACCTCACAAATTATGAGTGAGATTACTTTGATGTTTACAAAAAATACACAAGTAAAATATTCATTTAGAGCTATTTAATATAAGCATGTGAAATGTAATGGTCTCTCAGTCTCACCCATGTCCTCGTATACTGAGGTTGAAGCAGCCCAGTCTGTCACAGCCCAGAGAATCTGCTCCACACTGCAAAAAGAATAACTCTCAGCCAAGAACTGTGCTGACAAACACAGCTGTCTCATATGTACTAGGAACCACATTAGGTGAGATGACAGATGCTATGTAAAAATAGAAAATCAGAAGTGCCATCTGACCTGTAGGACAATGCAGGTTGGCTGGTAGAAATCCACGACCTGTTTAATAACTGGCTGGAATAGCTGCCTGTAGCCTGAAACACATACAGATGTTGGTTCACAGCAGGATGACTCTTCTACTGACACAGTCAACACAATAATGTGTTGTGTCTGTTAGTTTATACAATAGGTGCAGCATTTCAGTAACTGTGCAGGAAGTGAACTCACTCTGGTCGTCAATGCCGTCTCTCAGAGGAACGTTGAGGCAGTAGTACCGACCGCTCTCAGCTCCAACCTCGTACATGTCGCCTACAGCAAAAAGACAACAAAAAACAGAATCACCGTGAGAAACAAGAATCATGGTTCAGCTGCACCAATAGGTCCCCCCCCCCCATTACCCCATTACAATGTATCAGATGAACAGCATTTTCAGAACGTGTAATAAATGCCCAGTGTTTATTCTAAATCAGAAAAAAACACTTTGTACAGCAAAACATTTCACAGGTACATTTACCTGTTCCTGGAAAAAAGTAGTTCCCATATTTGTGGAAGGACACCGTCATGACTCGGTCTGTCAGGTAAAAGGCCTCCTGGACGCCATCGCCATGGTGAATGTCTATGTCAATGTACAGAACCCTAGGGTGGTATCTGTTCCACACACACACACACACACACACACACACACACACACACACACACAGGGCTGAAAAGTGAGAAACAGGCAAGGACAGGCTTGAACTAAGTTTTTCAGGAGAGTGTCCTTTTACTTGAGTAGCTCCAGTATACTGATGACGATGTCATTGACGTAGCAAAACCCAGATGCCTGAAACACAGACAAAGGATTTTAGTCTTTTAACCATTCACAGTAAAACAGGAAGTGACTGCAGTGAGGACTGGCACTAATATACAAGACTTGGTCCCAACCTCAAATTTTTTGGCATGATGCAATCCTCCAGCCCAGTTGATGGCAATGTCACAGATCTAGATAATAAAATAGAACCAGCATCAAATAGAGGTCACAATATCCCCCTGACCAGTCAACCAGTAGTGCTGCAGCCATGTTGTTCCATGTCAGTGTAACAAAGAAAGCGTCAGAGCAGGACAGGAATTAACATGGCTGCAGTGGTCTTGATGCTTGTGACAGGGGAACTGCTTAAATTAAACCACTAACTTCCACTATGGCAACACTGGCTTGTGTGTATTCATGTTATGTGTGTTACCTTGTGGTTTAGCTGTGTAGCTCCCTGTAAAGAGGCTCCTGTGTATCTTGAACAGAACTCAAAAAGACCTGGAAAGACAGGACTGAAACACAAACAACCAAAATGTGGCTAGGGTTAATCAGACCTCTAATAACAGGGATGGCCAAGTTGGCTATTTGATGCATTTATGCTGCAGTGCAGATATATCATTAATTTTTCAGAGGAGTGAGAAGAGGAACATGAAAGCATCCGAGAAGTTCAAGTGTCCTGTATAAAAGAGAAAGGAGACACCCAGACCTTGATAATAACTAGGAACAAAGTATTTTGTCATAATTTACAATACATAGTGTTTCAGCATATTTTAAAAACAGCCCATTATTATAAAGAACAGCAATACTCACCAGTCATCTCCCACATTAAACGTGTTAAGGCTCTTTGTGAAGCCCTGCATGTTGTTGGGGCTGACCTTCTGTAGGAAGTCGATGTAGTCTTCAGAGTGGAACCGACACATGTCGTGCTGAGATGCTTTGTATGGCTTAAAAACCTTAAAAAAAAACCCTCAAATTACATAAAGCCTAGTTTTGTCAGGGTCTAAATTTGTAACACCATCTCTATGTTGCTCACCATCATCTTCTTGTACAGCCCATAGTGCAACACAAGACTGTGAGTCAGAGACAAACGGTGAGGCTTCATGGGGTGGCCAGTACCTGGGAGGGACACAGGGTATCAGGTATTTCATTAATGTCACGATGTATTAGAGTGACAACCAATATTGAAATACATCATCTGAATTTCATAATGCCACTGTGCAGACTAATAAATGACAGGCCAGTGTTCTGAATAGTACAGGTAGTGGCCAGGGTGCCCCGTTCAGAACACGTTTTAAGACCTTTTGTCACTTAGATTAGGTAACTAGCATGAGTTTGCAAGGCTGTACAAATAATTAAAGTAGTAATTTGCTGCTAAATCCGATATGGTCTTAAAAGAGAAATGGTCTCATACTTGTATAGTGCCTTTCTATGCTTTTACAGCACACTCAAAGCGCTTTCACATTATTTGGCCATTCACCCATTCGCACTCCCAAGCACTCACGCATTCACACACCGGTGACATCACCGGGAGCAACTGGGGGTTCAGCGTCTTGCTCAAGGACACCTCGACATGTTGTCTAGACAAGCCGGGAATCGAACCGCTAATCCTCCTGAGCCACAGCCGCCCTTGAGGCCTCTGCTTCGGCTTCAGCAGCAGCCCATCAGGTGAGGGGGAGAGTCGAACACCTCTGGAAGAATGTTAGGGGTTTTTCTAAAGTCCTGTGGGAATTTGAAGGACTCTTCTTGTGTATACTGTGCGTGCAGCTAAGGGTAAGTCCAGTTTTTCGAGCGTTGATTTATTGGGGTTTATGGAGTTTTTATTAGGGTTATGGAGATGTTAAACAAATAAGCACTGTGGCCATAATATGGCATATTTTGGCAGAATTTGTACAGGAATAGTAATTTGCCTAACATCATGTAACTATTACACTGATTTGTTTTGTATTATTACTTACTACAAACAGCCAATTTAGAATAATTAAGAAAATGTCTCAGCAAGTGTTAAAAACTGTGACATGATGGAACGGTATAATGTTAGTAAAGATGACTGGCACGTTAGCTAGCGGCCAAATGTTGTATAAACTGTGCAGCTGTGTAACGTTACCTATAAATATAAAATCACGCTATAAAGCTGGTGAAAAGCAGCGCAACAGATCTCCAAATGCACTGTGCTAACAATTCCATATAAAAATCAAATATAACACATCCGTAAAGTTGGTAGCATGTAGCTAGCTTGTATTAGCACCATTTCCCTGTGTAGGTCTGTTTACTACAATAACCTAACTTACCGTAATGAAAGTTGCCTACATCTGGGTCGTAAAAATAAGATGTTCTGTTGTTCATTATGAAAGAAATATCTTATGACTTTTTTTTGTAAAACTATGGCTGCTCTTTCAACAATAATACCCGCATTTTTTCAGTCATTTAGCAGACAGCCGCCATGGTAAACACCGACCATAAGTACGTCATCATAACGGGACAATAATAGAGGGGAGGGGGGATGGTAGGAAAAGAGATAGTACTGTAGCTGAAAAACTGATCAAAATATGACATTAAGTAATCACAAATTTATCATAAATTCGGCTTACTTGTATTCGTTCCTTACTACTTAGCAAAACAGTAAGGAAGTATATTGCCAATAGAATACAACTCCTGAGAATCAACCTATGTAAAAGCTCTAACCCACAACACAACCCTTGCAAGACCTTACTATAAATCAGTGGTTCTCAAACATTGTCAAAAAATTATAACGAAATTGGCCAATTTTAAAATTTCAAATTTATTGAAATATCAAATAACACTAAGTTGAAAACGGATAAAATATAAATGCTACTGTATTGTTTGACAGGGGGATAGTTTTCAATTTTGCAGCACTTGTTTCATCGAGCATAATCGACACCATGTCTACAGTTACAGGGAGAATGAGCTGCTCAGCAATTGAGATAGGTTTCATCATATTTTCTTTTCGGCTGGCTTTTTGGTTGATAAGGCTACTGCCTGTTGTTTTTTTGTTTGCTTGCACTGAATCGCCTTCTTTTGTGGTCCATGTAACAAATGTATCCATTTACATTATTATGCCCACTACGTACACTATTGGCCCTCTGTGTGAACGTTTCCTTATATTGTTGCACCGCAGTTAACATGCTGACGTTAACATGCCGACGTTAAACCGTTATTGTTGTACTATGGTTCCACCTTTTTTCTCCCTGGCCCCGAACTGATGTTATTTTAATTTACTTGTATTAATGACCCATTTCTAATTTTCTCCGTTCATTGCGCCCCACCAGTCATGTCTTTATTCCCCACTAGTGGGGCGCACCCCACACTTTGAGAACCACGGCTATAGGTGATACTGAAATGATGATAATGTACTACATGACACTAAAGTAACACAACATTACCTATTGGGCAAACAAAAATATGGAGGATTGACTTAGCCACTAAGATTTAATGAATAAATAAACAAAATCATTAAACAAATGAACAAAAAAAACAAAACAGATACAATGTGACAAAAAGTTTGAAACATACCTTTAATAAAGACAATGATAAATTAATCTACAAAAATGTGTAACAGGACCACGTTATTTAACATGTAGTTCTCAATTCTAAGTTCACTTTTTCAAAGCTGCCAGCACAACACAGTCATTGCTTTGACATAAAATGTATTTAAAGACCACAAATCATGTTCATGAACCATGAACCACAAACTGTTTCTCACTGAAACTCAATCAACACCAATATAGTTCATTTGCATGTCTATAGCCTTATACTTTTAAAACAATTAAATGTACCTTCCAAACACAACACAAAATTACCATAAACTGCAATCTGCTACCTTCTGCTGCACCTACATCTATAGATAAATGTTTTTTAAATAAAGCATAAATACTTACCTTATTGCATATCTTGATGACCTCAGAAACATTGTAAGGTGATGAAAGTAAGGACAGATGAGGCTGAAATCAGAACAGTTCACCATTCTCTTCCAATCACAGAGTAGTTTACAGCTTATCCCAGCATGGTGCCACTTTTCTTTCCACCCTACGCTACATTCATCAACTGTATAGAGGAAATCTTTTGGACGGATTATTTCCAAAATGTGTTTTCAGAAACCTAGACTAGGGTGGCACTGCGGTGTAGTCGTTAGCGCTGTCACCTCACAGCAAGAAGGTTCTGGGTTTGAGCCCAGGCCCACTCAGGGCCTTTCTAATTGAAGTTTGCATGTTCACCCTGTGCCTGCGTGGGTTCTCTCTGTGTACTCTGGCTTCCTCCCACAGTCCAAAGACATACAGCTTAGGTTTACTGGTGACTCTAAATTGCCCCTAGGAGTGAGTGCGGGTGTGTGTGGCTTTTTGTCTACATGCCAGCCCTGTGATAGACTGGTGAACGGTCTAGGGTGTACCCCAACACTTGCCCAACGTGAGCTGGAAGTGGCTCCAGCGCCCCCAGGCACCCTATTCAGGAAAAAGTGGAATAGATAATGGAAGGATGAGTAGACTAAATCTTTTTCACTAGTGTTCAAACACTGGAAACACAAATTATGTTCATCTGTAAATGACAGCAACAAACAAACGTGTGCTGACAATGTCCAGTCATGGACTTTAATGCACATCTTGTTTATCTTTGAGCTAAATCAAGTGATTTTGACAGCACCAAGCTTAATAACACATCTCCATAGGTTTAGTTTACTATAGCTGTTAATTTTATTTTTAGCACCTGTTCATTAAAAAACATTTTTGAGACTTTCCAGATCATAAAATGATAAAAAGCAGACGTTCCACATGTGGCAGAGAGGAGTTAGAACAAGAAGGCAGATATATTCCCGTGCATCCAATGGCTTCAGTACTCAGTAAAAACCTGTAGAAATAAACACCAGTGCACACATACTGTAATATCGGTTCTTTCACCAAGGGGGTTTAATGGATTTTAAAGATATTCCAACTGAAATTTATTCTTCCTTTACTTATGTCTGTCTCCCACCTGTCTTTCAGTTTCTCTCCACCCTTCTCTTCCCCCTCTTTTTCCCAGTAACAAATAAAATGTGCATGTGTGTGAGATGGTAAGACCAGATGTGTCTGAGACGACTACCACAACACAACCTTTACAGCATCTGGATGTTTGTCTATAAAAGTTTGTGTGACAGCTAAACTCTAGAGAGAAGTTAATCTGGTTTATTGGCACACCCAATTAAACATACACATTCACTTATGTGCATTCACGTGAACCAGTAAGAGGCTGAGCATACTGAAGCTGGAAATGAATGATTTAGTTGAGAGTGAGTTTTCCCTCTGTTTTAGCTGCTTTTGATTTATTACATGATCTGTTTTTTGTCCTTTGTTTTTCTGGTTACATGAATAAACACTGAGCCTATTAATGCCATGGCTTTACGTGTGGGTCATTTTTGGTTGCTGTGGGCACATGCAGGTGCTCAGCTCACTGATCAACAGGGGGCGATAATGTGTCAAGAACACTAATGCACCAGCAGACTGCAAGCTTGTAAATAAAGGTCTCAAACCTATAGAAACATCAGCTTTGCAAGTGTTTTATTAAGGAGCAAATGCATTCAGCATATTTGCTAGACTGCAAGGACATGCAAAATGAGTTTTGGTGAGTAAGACTGAATTTAAAAGAAACTTGTTTACATGAAGACTCCACAGCAAGATGACGATTCTCACTGGGCATAAAACCTGCTATGAATAAAATTACTTCAGTATAGGTTGAAATTTTGTAGTTAACTTATCTGCAGTTTCAGAGCCAAAACACTGAAAGCACATTTTCAAAATATCAGCAGTATGCATCTGTCCAACACTGGGAGCTACAGTATGTACTGTATATTCTGACTGATAGGGTTGGGCAATATGAGATGCAGTGTTCTATATCGGTCAATGTGGGCAGTGCTGCAAAACCAGTGAGCAGGAATAAATGTTGATATTGGATTTTTATATGATTTTTGTATCAAAGTAGTGAAGCACTGTACCTTTATTTGCCATGTGTTCAATTTGTTATACTGTTTTTTTCCCCCAAAATCTTACTATATCATAATTTTGATATTGCATATACCCTGATAGAGGATTCTATCAGTACCACCCTCTCCTACTGTATAATACCAGATATTGGTTATGTGGAGCTTTCACTTATTGTATGGGTAGTGGATAAATGTTAGGCTCTTCATAAATGCAGAACACATACCATGAGTAAAGGTTATCTAACTTAAATGTTGTAGATTGTTGACATCAACACAATGTAGACTAACACAAGAATAAAAAACAGTGAGAGAGCGGGGACACACTTGTTCGTCCATGGCTTTTGAAGAGTGTGACGGAGAGGCTGGCACGGATAAGCCTTCACAGAGCAACATCGCCTCGCCCTCTCTCTACAGAATGTGTGTTGGCTTGTCGGCTGTTCTGCGTTGGAATGTCTGGGTGTACATTTGACTTTCTCCAGCTTGTTTGCTTCCCCTCTCTCCTTTTTTCTTTATGTTTCTCTGCCTGCAGATAAATGGCACAGTTTCTCAGGATTGAATGGTTTATGTATTATGTGTTCCTTATGTTCCCAGTTACGGTAGGTTCAAAACAGGTGAGCATTACCCACAGACTGTGTGTGTGTGTGTTAGAGCACTGAGATATAAACCTGGGTCCTCCTCATCTAGACTTAATGTTTTTCTCCCTTTGAAGTAGTAACACACAAGGTCATGCTTATGCTCACATGGGTCCACATGTCAAAACTAACCCACCAGGCATGTCAGGATGTTGCCGTAGCAAATTGCATTTTCATCTTTCATAGCAAAATGTGATTTTCACTAGTTCATTTCTATATTTATTTCATTTCTTAATATTACAATTTTGAAAGATTATTATTATGAATTTTGTTAAAATTTTTGCAGGCCAAAAAGTACTCCAGTCTAAACAACCATGTAGGTGATTTGTCCCTCCCCTCTAATACAACTCATAAGAGGGTTTCTTTGAAACAGCAGCACTACGGTGGCAGTCGTGTTAGACCTTCATCATGCTAACATTCATAAACATGCAGGTAAGGCTTTGGAACGGTCATGCTTTGGTTAGGTTTAAAAACAAATGTGGTTAAAAACAATGTGGTTAGGTTTACAGAAGGATCATGGTTAAAATAAAATATTTCCTCAAGGTTAGAGCACCTTTGTTGTCATGGTTATAGTAATAAACGAGCAGTTAAGTGAACGAAGCGTCATGGTTGCCACCTCCCTGCCAGAGTCAGAATGTGTTAATTGTCAGTACTAATGAATGGAAAAATTCATGTTTTTCTGGTACTTTATAATTGATATTGGTCAAAGTAGTTTTATTTATATATTATTTTATATTATGCATGCAGCATGATATTTGCATTAATTTCTCTAATTGTGTTGATGTGAAGTAAATAGCCAAAGTCAGCTAAAGAAGGCACCATAGTTACACAAAATAAGTTGATTCTTAATGATGTATGGCTTATTATTTGACAGAAAACCG